ATGAGTGTGTACACGCGCGCACGTGACATCACCGGTGTTCGCGCGTGCACGTGTCATCAATATGAGTGTGTACACGCGCGCACGTGACATCATCGGTGTTCGCGCGTGCATGTGTCATCAATATGAGTGTGTACACGCGCGCACGTGACATCACCGGTGTTCGCGCGTGCACGTGTCATCAATATGAGTGTGTACACGCGTGCACGTGTCATCACCGGTGTACGCGTGTGCACGTGTCATCAATATGAGTGTACACGCGCGCACGTGACATCACCGGTGTTCGCGCGTGCACGTGTACGTGACATGTGCACGAGCTGCTAGGGTGTGTTTAATCGATTGCGACGTTTGCGATATTTGCAGATATTTTACTCTCCCTTCCGTATTGCTGTGCCGTAGTAGCATTAGTAGCGTGTCATGGCGGCGGCGGCGAAGCTGCCGGGCGAATCGTCGTGGGACAGCGACGACGAGTTACTGGAGGAGGATGCGATTAATGACACGGAAGATACTGAGGAGGTGCTGGACGAGGAAGCCCTGCTCGAGGGTGACGACGACGACGACGACGCGCGGCGAGGCGACGCGAGCTACGACGAGCGTTACCGCGGCGACGCGGTCGCCGCCGACGACAAGCGCTACCGCGGCGACATGGTCGCCGACGACGTGATCGACATCGCCGCTGACTACGACGACGACCTGCTGGAAGAGACGGATATCGTCCCCGACGACGACGACGACGGCGGCGTTGCCGCGGGAAACGAGATGAAGGCTGCAGCGAACGAGCCGAATTACGCGCGCGCGATCCCGCGCAGTGACGTCGTCGCAGAAGACCAAGCGTCCTACAGCACTGACGACGGCAGGTCGACGACGACGACGACGACGGTTGCCGCGGCGGCGGCGGCGAAGGTGTTCGTGGATACGGGCGACAGCGACGACAGCGACCAGGAGGAGAAGCGCGAGAGATTTCGCACGGAGCGGAAGACGATCTCCGTGGCGACGGGCGGCAAGCGGGCGGCGCGCGACATCCCGGACACGCTAGACAAGGTGATTGTCCTCGCGGAGCAGCAACCTCGACGTTTATACGGGTTCCAGAAGCGCGGCAGGAACTGGAGGAGAGGAGGGCGAGGCGGCGGCGGCGGCCGCGGCAACGCCGGAATCATGGGAAGCGGTCCGCCGCCGCAGCAGCAGCAGCGGCCGACGTTCCCAGGTGTGCGCGGCGTGGCGCAGCAGCCCCCGAGGAAGATCCACATCAACCCGTACTTCTCGGGAACGGTCGCGCGGCAATTCAACGGTCCCCGGCTGCTCTGGGACCAGTCGAGCCCGCCGATGGCTGGCGGGGGCGCTCCGCCGCGTCCGCCGCCGCTGCCGCACGGTAACGACTTCAAGTTCAACCAGTTTCCGCCAGACCAGGCCCCGTTTCGGCCGCCGGCGGGGGCGGTGATGAGGACCTACAGGCCGGATGCTGGCGTGGCACCACCGATGATGCGCGCTCCGCTGCCCTCACTGCTGCCGCACCAGCAGCAGCCACCGCTGCTGTTCTTTCAGCCTCGGCAGAACGCGAATGTTTCGCGACACGAAGCACTGCGGCAGCCGCAGCAGCAGCAGCAGCAGCAGCCGGCGGCGGCGGTCGCGTATCAGGAGAAACAGCAGTCCGGCTATTATCCCCCCAACGTATCATATGACGACCGCCCCCCACCATCTCTAGAAGCCCAGTTTTTGTCCAGTCAGCAGCAGCAGCAGCAACAGTTTCAGCAACGGGAGCAGCAGCAGCAGCGCTACCAGCAAGAACAACAGAATAAACAGCAGCAAACGGCGCAGTACCAGCAGCGGCAGCAGCCGCTGCACCAACAGATACATAGCCACCAGCTACCCCAGCACCTGCAGAGACCGCAGCAAGAGCGGCAGGCCCAACAGCAGCATCAGCAGCAGCGACAGCAGCAGCAACAACAACCATACCAACAGGAGGGACAGCAGCAGCCTCATCAACACCACCAACAACAACAGCAACAGCAACAACAACAACAACTGCAATCTTATCAACAGCAACAACAGCAGCCGTACCAGCAGAAGAAGCAGCATCAACAACCACAGCAACAGCAGCGGCAGCATCCACCGCCGCAACCCTACCAGCAGCAGCGACAGCAGCCGGGTTACGACGCGATCAGCCGACAGCGCGCGCCCGCCACCGGTCGTCCCGCGAGAATGCCGAGACCCACTGGCAACGGCTTCAACGCGGCCCCGCCGGCGCCCGTGCGACTCAGGTCTCCCACTCCGGGTCGCTTTCCGTTCGCGCCTCCCGCGTTCTCGGCACAGCCAGGCGGACACCCCGTGCCGGGTCAACGCCCCGGCGCGCCTCGCCCGGGAGGGCAGCGACATCCGTTCGCGCCGCCGGCTACGTCCCAGGGTCCCCAGTTTCCCAGTTTCAGGGGGACGAACCAGCCGAAGGGTGCAAGCTACGGTGGTGCGGCTAGCGTCGTACGTCAGGTGCCGTCACTGAAGCAGCAGCAAGCGCGTGGAGCAGGGAAGCCTCTGGTTCACAACCAGCAGCACCCTATGGAATGGCAGCAACAGCAACAGCAGCAGCAGCAGCAGCAGCAGCGAGTAGAGGCGGTGAATGCAGAAGAGGAGGAGGAGGAAGAGGAGGAGATGGACGAGGAGATGCGGTTGTACAAGCAGAAGATAAGAGAGCAGGAGCGAATTCGGGAGCAGGTTCGACTGCGCAAGGAGCGCAACAGGCAGCAACGCGTGCAGCAGCATCTCGCCGATGACTCATCCAACAACAATCCTGCCGCGCAGTCGGCCGGGTTTCCCCGCCACGGCGACGCGATGCCCCCCGGGGGCCAGCTCATCATCGAGAAGAAGATAAAGAAGACATCCCTCGGCGAGATAAAGACCGTATTCGAGAAAAAAGTTGTGACGACCGTCACACGGGTGCCCGGCCCAGCATCTCTGCCGCCAGGTGTCAGCACTGTCGCACGTCCGCCGCCAGGGGGCGCAGGCGTTTCACGTATGCTGCTGCCAGGGGGCCCCACTGTCGATGGTCAGCGTCAGGGTCGCATTGTCACGAAGCAGGTTAAGATGAGGGATGGTTCCATGCAGTCGATCCCGCTCAAGAAGCTCGCAAACCCCGACGGAACCTGCTCCTATGCGCACGTCCGACCTCCCACGCCGGCGCCCCTGCGCGCCGTGGTCATGCAGCAGCAGCAGCAGCGCCCCCTGCAGGTCGAAGCCGGCGACGGCGGTAGGGAGGCGGAGTCTCAGGCGGAGCGAATGCGGAAGAGGCAGGAGAGGTTTGCGGGTGGCGGCAGCGGCGGGACGGTTTCCGGGGGCCAGGGTACGGTGCAGCGAAAGGTGGTGGCCGCACCGCCGCCGCCGCCGCAGCAGCAACAGCAGCAGCAGCAGCATCAACAGCAACAACAACAGCAGCAACAGCAGCAGCATGTAGCAGTGAGAAGGTCTGGCGCGGCGCGGTTACAGGATGGTGGCGATGCGAAGGTATATGCCGGTTCCTTAGTTCTCCTCGCGTCCGTTAAATTCTGTTAATTAATGAAATTCCAGTAATTAATTGATAATTAAGGTAGGTTTTTTTAGAGTAGACAACCTGGATGCCAAAGCGAGTACCTCATCCAGATTCTAATGAAGCGCTTCTACTGCAGGTGGTTTAATGATGCGTGCGTACTGACTACAAAATTAACCGGCGATTGAATGAAATTGAATGTTGTCGGAAACAAAATTAGTCTTGACATTATTCAGACTTTTTCTCATAGACCATCGACAGAATCATTGTAAAGTGAAAAATCTTAGCAAATCGCTCTTAAAATTACGATATTTTAGGCCCTCTCATGAATACTCCCTAGGATAAAAAAGAATGCAATTGCACAAAAATTACCGTAATATTGATATTATAATTAATATTGATTGGTAAAACCTGAAAATCATGCAAAACATGTCCAAAACACTACCTGTGTTCTGTTCATGTACAAAACAAACATTCAATGTACTAAATGCTTAGGCTTTACAATGTGTAGGTGTTAACTATCCATCTGTAATTCTATTTTAAAATTGAATTGCATCTAATAATCTTATTAACTATGTATGCTTGTGATGCATTCTTGTATAATAGTGTTTTAACTTTTATCCAAGTTTTTACATTACTAATCAAATAGATCGTAGCATTTTCTAAATTCCTATCTACTCGTGAAACGTCGCCAAATGAGTTTTATATTGCACAGAATCCATAACTTCCCAGACCCGCACCCAATTTTTTTTCAGTCCCCAATTTTGTTTCGTGTTAACACCCATGACAATGTTGAAGGCTGGCCGACGACAGCAGCAGCAGCAGCAGCAGCAGAAACCCGTTGCCAGCAGCAACCTGACGCGGAGGGTGCGCATCACGAGCCTGCCTGCGGGCGACCCGGAGAAGCTCGCGCAGGCGATCGTCGCGATGTGCCAGCGCGTCGGCGTCGCACGCCACCTGGAGTTCGACTCGGACGACTGGGTTGCGACAGTGGAGTTCAGCGAGCAGCGGGAGGCCGTCGACTTCCAGAGGCAGTTCCAGGACAGCCAGATGCAGTCGGCGCGCATATTCGTCGATCTGATATAGGTGTGTGTGCGTGTGCATGTGTGTGTGTGCGTGCGTGCGTGCGTGCGTGTGCATGTGTGGGGTGTGTGCGTGTGCGTGTGTGTGTGTGTTTGTGTGTGTGTGTGTGTGTGTGTGTGTGCGCGCGCGTGTGTGGGTGTGGGTAGATGAGTGGGTGGTTGTGTCAACTTGTGTGTGTGGCGTTCATGTCATAGATTGGTGGTGTGGGGGAGAGGGGTGTGGTTGACACGCTGTGGCGGTTGTGCTGGAAAACCTTGTGTTTTCGTGGGTATGATGTGTATTTCTGACGCTTTCATAATGTCAGTGTCTAAGTGTTGCAGTGATCACCTGTGCATACGGTCACTGCCTGTGTCAGTGGTGCAGCAAGAATACACCGTTTATAGAATAGACACATGCCTAATAATTTCCTTATATAATTTTCTTTCTTCTTTATATAATTTCCTTATATAATTTTCTTCCCTATATAATTACCTTATATAATATAATTTCCTTAATTTCATGTCTCAGCCACAATAATGCTGCAGAGCAAACACTTCACGTCTATCTTAGAAGGATTTAGGTCTATCTCTGTGTGAGCTTGTGTACAAATTACAATGCTGTGCGTGTCGTGAGACTTTTGCTGAAGAGCGTTTGAACACTGTCACAGACAGTCATAACACGAATGCTCTATTGTTAGTTGTGCTCATAGGGTCTATGTCCCCCAGGGTACTGCCGGAACGTACCCTGGGTACGGTCCGGTATACCGAAACGGACCCTGGTCACTATTTGATATGGTTAGGGTTAGGATTAGGGTTAGGGTTAGGGAGTAGGCGACTCCCTAGACTCGTTAGTGGAGTAGGCAAGGTACGGTCTGGCATATTAGATAGTACCAGGGTACGTTCCGATATACCGGACCGTACCCAGGGTACGTTCCGGCAGTACCCCGGGGGACATAGACCCTCTCAGCGTTAGTTGTTATACTGTGCGTAATACGTTGCTTATATGTCAAAAGTAGCTGGTAGGAATTGTTCCGCGTACATGATTGCAAAACCGGTCACGGGTGAGTGGTCTATAATGACATCAGGAGTGAATAATAATAAAAAATCATAGTGAATACTATCAAGAGTAGATAATAGAGAAGAGTATGACACCGTTTTAACAGCGTTTTGCATAGTTTTCAACTTGTAAATATTCTATCAATATGTGATATAATATTAATAATAGATTATCTGTTATTCACTCCTGGTGATATCTGCACGCAGCTCAGCATCTGAGCTACGCAATGCATCTCATATTATCAGGAGTGTGTAATATAGACATACTAGTATATATATATATATATATATATATATATAATATTATTACT